ATTGTGTATATCACAAAGTATACAGGTTTTAAAATTATGGAACAACTTCGATATTAATATATATATATATATGGTATATAAATTAGTTGATTTCTTGGGAAGAATGTCATATATAAATTTATTTGTTAAAAAATATGATTATTTTAAAATAATAAGAAAACCTTTAAATATTATGACTGAATTTTTATATGTGCACACAATCATAATTAATATCGATTTACTTTGCAATTATGATTGAATTATTATATGTTCGTACATCTATATATAATTTATTTATATTGATTTAGTTCGTAAATTATTTTAATTAATCATAATATAACTAAATTAGATATTAATAAAATATATATTGTTATAATTTACAGGTAATTCATATTCAAATAAAAATTTATCCAAATGCTTTTTCATATATATTTGCCTTTTCTAAATATAATACTTTTTTATGCTAGTCATATGTATATTTTTGTGCCACAGTAACCCTATGAAATTACATAAAATTTAATAAATACAAATCACATGTGACGATCTTATTCGCCACTTGTAGCAAAAATATATTCACCACTTGAATTAAAAATGCATGGTTGCATTGAAAACGTAATCACAAATGTTTGAATAAATTTCTTCTAAACAGAATTTTTTATATAAAAACAAAATATAAAATTTCATTTTATTTTTATTCTGAATTTTATATGATACAATTAATTTTTTTATTACAAATATCTATGAATTTATAATTATTGAATACATGAAGCAATTTTCGAAATCATAAATTATAGCAGTAACAATGTTTACGAGTCATCAGAAGAGACTATAATATTTGCAATTTATATTTGTTTTCATATAAGTAAAAAACCGAAAGATAAAAATGATTTCCGATAAAAAATCGATTGTTTAAGCTAAATGTCAAATGAAATTTCAATAGAAGAGATTTTTTTTCGAATTTATGATTTGTGATTTTTTGGTAACAAATATATACTTTTATCCTTTTATCATACCTAGCAACTTATTTATAACTTAGTTATAAATTTATAACAAGGAATACTTATTTATACAAGTTTTTTCTTATATAAATAAAAAAAAATTAAGCAAAAAAAAGTATGATATGAAAAAATTTTGTTCAATTTTCATTTCCAATATGGAAGCTTTGTATAAACTTTTTAATGGTTGCTTTTTATATTAATATATCAATTATATAACAATTTCATTTAATTTACGTGTATTGTTCACATTCAAATGCAATTAGAATTATTTTGTATTTAGAACTTTAAGGACCAGTTTTAGTGGGACCATGTTTAGTGACTGATTGGACATAACATTGACTATTGAGTTTAGGACGACATTTAAGACCCCAATAATGAGGACTATTAGTCATTAAAGGACTTAAGGACTATTAAACCAACAATTGATGTATGAAAATTTGGATACAAACACAATTTGAAATTTTTGTGACTTTGTTTTTAAATAAAGTTATAAATAAAATTAATTATTGATATTATTTAATATTTAAAAAATTGTCAGAAATGGTACTTGAATGGTATTAGTTTGGCAATCTGATTATAAAAGCGATTGTGTGAAAATAAAAAAAAAAATTGTGATGTTAAATACATCTCAATAATATTTTTATATTTATTTAATTAAACAAAATAAATAAAATAAAATAAAATATTTCAATTTTATCGTGTAAAGATTGGTGCTTCATTCTTGATTCATATTAAAAGTTTTGTAATTGTTAAAATTTTTAAGAGTTAAAAAAAACTCATATTTATCCCAACTTAAGTTATAGGAAAACTGGCTAATCTCACATCGCTCAACTGGCTCCAAATCAAATCACTGCAATATTTCACAACAAAAATACTTACTTGATTGCTGATTTCGTAAATGTAGTTGCGCAAAATATTCTCTTGATTTTCAATCCGTACACCTCCGATTTGCCGACCTTATCTGTTCGACAGATACTGAGCAATGAACACTGCTGGCATTTGAATGTGTTTACTAATACATCATTGAAATTTAAAAGTACACACTATATGTCATTGGCTACTGTATACTGTCTGTCCTTTTTTAGGGCTGGATACACTTTATAAAATTCGACCAGTAACTACACAATGGGTTAAGTATATAGATTACGCTTACATAATATATTTTAATTTACAGAAATTTTTATATAATACAATGCTTAATCGAATATGAAATTTTTTGCAAAACAAATACCATTTATTGTACCTAAAGGTATATATTACGATATGAATTCTGATAAAGGCTTACAAATCTAGTTGTACAATTCCGGATGCAGTTTGTACTTGAATTAATATGTGTACAAAATAAATTGGTTTTAGTATGAAATTAAATACACGAAGCAGCTGGGCGTCTACACTGGCTTAGCTTTGCAAGATTTTTAAGTTCGAATACTGTGTAGAAAAAATTTATACGTGTTAGTGAAAAAGTGAAACTATAAAAATGTAGACTCAGAGTAAAAATGAATAAAAAATTAGCTTTATTATATATTTATTATATATGTTTCCTTTTTATATTCTCCGGTATATGTGCAAATATATAACATAAACCCTTTCTGCATTCAACTATGAACAGCTATTTAATCTCAATTGCATAAAATTGCATTGAAATTAATACGGCGTCTACATTGTGTGATTAAAAGTAGATTAAAGCAAAAATCGAACTTAAAGTACCCACCTCGTTGTTAATCTCAGATTTCCCATATAAATGTTAATCTCCTTTTGGTTGAGATTAAATTTAAATCTCTTTCAAAATTATGATTATTTCTCTGTGCAACTCTGAAAATGTGTTAATGTCGTAGATTTTTTCACGATCTTAAAAAGAAATGTCAAAATCTATTCAAAACAAACATTGAAAATTTAAAATTTTCGTTTTGAAATTTCTATTAAATTTGTTGCATAATATTTTTATACATAATTAAATTTAAAATTTGTTGAATTATTATTATAAAACCATAACAATAATTAAAAAAATTGTAACAATAATTAACTAAATTACTGAAATTGTAATTAAATGCTTTGCACGAATGCTTACAGGAACCAAAACACAACAAGAGGAACCTCAAAATTAATCTCCAATATATAATGTAAACGGTTGAGATTAGAAATGCAGATTAACTTAATCTCGTACTCTTAATCTCACAATGTAAACGTAGTATAAGTTTTTCTCTACGTAATGCAGTTAGTAAATTCAATACCAATAAGTGTATTGTTTTTATTTTCTATTTTACATATAATACCAATATGTATTGTATATGTTTTGATTAACAATTGCAACCGCTGTTATAATACTGTAATTTTCGGATATGGCATTTTCTTACCTAAAGCAATTATTCCATAATTATGCAGTTCTAAATTTATATTCCTAAACAGTTCTATAAGAAAAATATAATTTAGTGAATTAATTTTGAAACGTATTATACTCAAATATATTTTCTTCGCATCATATGAGAGTATTTATCATCAACACACATTCGCGCAGTCCAGTAATTTTTAACGCTCAGTAGCAATGTATTGGCAACGCAACAATTTGACAATAGATGTTCAACATACTAAAGTGAAACTCACCATTTGGGGAAATTTAGTTCATCTGACATTAGAGTCGAACGTTTCTTTTTCGTTTTGTGATTGGTATACGTTAGCACGTTTTACGAAGTGAGTTGTTAAAAGATTTAGGTTTGCTTAAAATAATTATTTAATGTATTTTTACAAAATGTGATTGAAAGTTAAATTTAATTTTGAATATGCAAATGATATTTCTTTTGCAAAAGTTTGGAAATTTGTTTAAGTGTGCAAAAAAGTATTGCCTTGTCGTGAGTTTCTAACCTTAAATGTGAAGTTTGCAACAAACATGGCGCACGGGGTGCTCCGCCTGATCTGCAAATTTCCAGATCAGACGGTGCACTAAATTTAAACAAATTTACAAAACAGTAAACGCTTTTAAGCAAAACTCATATATCACAATAGGCTAACGAAGCCTATACGAATTATATATGTTTAGTTTTTACGTGATATTTAACATAAACTAATTTATTATTTGTTTTTGTATGTGATTTTGCAGAAACCAACGCAAAATGCAGATATTCGTTAAAACTTTGACCGGCAAGACTATCACTTTGGAAGTTGAGCCTTCCGACACAATTGAAAATGTGAAGGCTAAAATCCAAGATAAGGAGGGCATTCCACCAGATCAACAACGTTTGATTTTCGCTGGCAAGCAACTTGAAGATGGACGCACCTTATCCGACTACAACATTCAAAAGGAGTCGACACTTCATTTGGTGTTGCGTTTACGTGGAGGTATCATTGAACCATCATTGCGTATCTTAGCACAAAAATACAATTGCGACAAAATGATTTGCCGTAAATGCTATGCACGCTTGCATCCACGTGCAACCAACTGCCGCAAGAAGAAGTGTGGACACACCAACAACTTGCGTCCAAAGAAGAAGTTGAAGTAGATTAATGAAATGCTTGGAAGAAGTATCATATTTTCTATATTGTTTAAATTCCAACAACAATAAACATAAAATGTAAATTAAGGTTTTTTAATTACTGTTAAAAGAACAGTTGAGAACAGTGGAGATTATATGGGACTTCGAACAGGTATATTCCACAAATTCGTATTTTCGAAGCTGAAAGCAGTTTTCTCATTTATTGCTTTTAAATGGTTGTCCAACATTCATGCAGTGCTCGGAGTTTTACGTTTAAACACTCGACATTAATTTTATTCATGTTATCTGCCATATTTAAGGATTAAAGTTATACCATAAAAAACGTGAACGTTTTATAATTGATATTTAGTGGTGGTATTTATATGATGTTTATATATGTATGATATATCTTCGACAGATATATCACTAAGCATCACTAATTATTGATTATCACACTGAGGAGCGGCCAGGTAGGTGTACGCCTTGGTGTCGCCGCTTTTTATACAATCAAGTGCCACCCAATCTTCCCGACAGGGACAAAAACAACAGGTGCTGGCTTATCATAACAGCAAATGCTATGTAGTTTACTACTTGGTAATTATTATTATATTATATATATAGTGAACCTTTTTAATCAATAATTAATTCCATAAACAAATTTCTATATTTAATTACTTAAGTATTTGGCAAGTTTGTTCATCTAAGAAGTGACATAAAAGTTGTATTTCTGAATAACGAAGTTTCGTGCAGTATTTGGCACACCCAGCTAACAAATGGGCGTGTCATCCCTTCAAAAACTTAACAGTATGAAAGTAATAAGACTGTTTTGAAGCTTATAATTCATACAATTTATTCACGGACTAACAAACTTATGAATTGTTTCTAAAGACCACTGATTACCGATATTTGGCAAAATTTGGGCAAATATAACATTTTGTTGTTGCAATTCATTACTGTGTAACGAATTGTTATTGTTGTAGCTTACCGAGAGAAGGTGAACACGAGTATTAGTTTGTTTAATTATATATAACTCTTCACTATTACTATAGCAGTAATAGTATTCGGCTTGTTTAACATCTGGATATCGAGCTTTGTACATCACCTCTGTTACGCTCTGTTTAAAAAGATAAGGCATATACCGATATGCCTATAAGATTGGAAATGTTATTAATCTCTAAATTTAAGTTAGACTGGAATGGTAACCTTATAGTCAAAGTCCATTTTAGCTGAAACAATAGCTTGTTGTGATACCACAGACAATGTTGTGAACAACACAACGGTCGATATGAAAAGGGATTCCGAAAATTTGTACGCCTAACTAATTAAGGACGCTGACGCTGACATGCGGTGGAATACAATTTCCTGCTCATTCGTAGAGCCACAACCTCGAAAAAAGTCATTATAGGGTGGACACAGTCTCAAAACTTGTTTTTATAGCTGCAGTGACCAGTCAGCAACGATACCGTAGTGCTGAGAAGATTACGCCTAAGTTGAAGCAGCTAACTGGTACGTTTCTTGTCCAGTTTGGACCAAGTTGATCTTTAGATCTGACAGAAGGGTTCATCTACCTAATTTTGTTTACTGTTAATGTCTTAACCACTAACTAATTATATATAGAAGTCTAGTGCTATATGAAATGAATGGTTAGTGATTTCGAATGAAGCTTAAAAAATTCTTGCAAGTAAAAGCTTTTGCCACATTAAACGCAGTACATTAAAACTCTGATAATTCGGAGTTCGGAATGTATTCGAATTACTGGATTTATATTAGAAATCTAGAAAAAGATTAATATGTGTTTATATATTAATTTTAACAAACGAAACTGAATAACAAATGTATAATAACTCAATGCTTAAATTAAATTAATTCATATGTTGAATGACACATTCACATGATATATGATAAATTTTTATTCATTATATGGTATATAATTTTGTATAAGCAAATAATAAAGAAATTATATAGGCGAATAAATATATACTCGAGTATACACATAACCCATAACCCATAAATGTGATTTATTTCATTAGATTGTCGAGCAGTCATGGCACAGTTAACATTTTTTAATTATGGCCGAAATATGAATTGCCGGAAATTTAGCGAAGTAAATATGTTTGGCGATCACCTATTCCATGTTGTTATTTTTGGGCGATCACCTATTCCATGTTGTTATTTTTGGGCGATCATATGAATTAAAATAATTCATAAATAATAGTATGGATAATAAGTATATTTTACAGCAAACAAGTCTTTGAAAAATAGATACCTTTAGTGAGATCATCTATTGGTAATTACATACTAGGATAAAGAAGAATTTCTCACTGATGAATTATCTCTCCCATTCTTAACAATTAATACAGCTCAAGTGGTGCCTGCCTTTATGATTATTTGAATTGATGGCAGTGAAGTATACGTAGGTATGAAGTAAGTACCTCTCTTTAATTAGAATGGTTAAAAGTCACCAGCTATAAAAAAATGAAGGTGATGTCACTTAGAAAAGGAGTTGTGAGAAGACGATGCTCTACTCGTATGTATATTTAGTAAATATTAATAGAAGTCAATAAAAAACATAACCGGAAACAATCGAAGTTTGCTCTAAGAAGACGTAGGCAGGAGAAGAGCGGTCCTTAAAGTGTTGAAGTCCCCAAAAAACTATTAAAGAACAATATTAGTTCATATGTATGTTTATTATTAATGCATTATTACTGTTTAATAAGGCAACCTATTAAAATTGTCTGAAGGCCTACCAAAGTATATATATCTGGCTGCCGGTCTAGATAATATCATTTCGAACACGTTAGTGTTAACACATTAGTATAAGGACATTTTAAGTAGATGTAACTGTACAGTGTTTTTGGTTCTTAGTTCTTAGAAAGAATATTTGGACCAATAAAATAGGTTGAATGCGCGCCGTAATAATGAACTAGTAGAAGGTAAGAATGTTATTCATTAGTGTTTTAATAATTATTATGGCTTAGATGTGTTTATAGAATGCTTTAGACTAGAGTACCGCTGATTATAAATGAAAATAAAACTGACAGACCAGAAATTGATGAATTCATCAATACGAAAAAAATTATGGCTAATAAATATATGAATATATGATATGAAGATGAGAATACTTCAAACTTTTGTAATATCTTGAATACAGTATATGGCATGTGTGGTATGTGTTGTGTTATTTGTATAATCAGTATTAAACGTTTTCAACTTTATAATCTAGTATCTCAAGAACTATCGACATATAGATTTGTAGAAAAGGTTGTTAAAAATAACGAACTTTATAAGGATCCACGGAAAACCTGCAGTGCGTAGGAAAAAGGAACCGAACGTATTTCAGTACAATTTTAAAGTATTTTGAATGATATTACTTTTACAACCATATTCATTTGTCTGATTTTGATATGATCAGTGATATTGTCGATTTCTCAATTTAGGACGATTTTTGACAGCTAAGCATTTTAAACGTGCTATCAAGGCAGTTTAACATTTGTCTTCTCTGGATCATAGGGATATAGAGGCATTCGCAAGGCGAATTAGCTTGCTAGACAGATCATTTAAAAAACGAAATCGGTATTTTTTTTAGACTTAGGCATTTTTCTAGCGCATTCAAACAGTTTGAAACTATTCATATTTACCAATTCAATACTAAGACGAAAGATTTAACACTATGGAGATATCTGTGTTCAACTTAGCCCTTTTATATAAGAAAGAATTCAGTAATTCGTTTGATACGTCAAGTAAAAATTTAAGTCTTATAGTGTGTATGTTGTATATGTTGTAAGGAAACTATGCTAGCTGATTAAATATATCCTACGAAGATTCTTGCGTGCTTCTCAAGAAGACGATTAAAAGTCTCAAATCAAGTATATTAGGCATACTAGGGACTTTTTAAAGGATTTTTGTCAGTTCTTCTTAAAGAGCATTTTATATTGCATCAGAGGTAACACAATGAGCCAATAGACCTAATTGGATTCCTAATATCACCACAATAAGTAAACTTAACCTATTTCCTGTTTTAGTTAATAATTTTTGTGGAAAATGGCACAGTGAAAGAACACAACTGGAAGATAAGGTCAATAGGTCAATTTTTTGGCGAGAATTTAAAAACGAGAACATTTAAAAAATTAATCGCACAAAAATGAAAACCACACAATTCATCGAAAACGTGCTCCGGAAAAAAAAGAAAGACTTGGACGCAAACTGAACTGAAGAGAAAAACATACCGCATTGGTGTCCAATAAATAAGAAATCTTCTCCAAATAAATGGCAAAGCGGTCTCAGAAAAAGAAAAGTCCTGTTCTATTTTCTTATTCTTATCTCATCCATAAAAAAAATAATGGTATGCTATCGTAAAACTGAGTAGGACAACGCATAGCAATATTTTAATATGTTTAAAATATTGATATTTATTAAAAAAATTGTATTATCCATTTTCCATTTGACCCATGCAGTTTAGTGTGAAAATTTCATTCCTGAACAATCATATTATGACCTACAGTGGTATTTATTTTGAGTGGTTTGAATCTAATTCTAGAATTCGAACCACTCGGTTTAGTAGAATTTGCAATATTATATGTAAATGTGGTAAATATCAAAAAAGGTTCTTTGGAAAAAATACAGTAACAGTTTTGAGTTACCTTAGAGTTAAGAATTAGAACTTAAAGGAAATTCTTCAAAAATTATTTCTGTCTGAACCGCGAAATTCCTTTAATAATTTTCCGAAATTTTCAAAACACCTGTGGCAGATTCAATTATAATTCCGTAAAAGATATATAGTCAGAATATACCTGGATTATATTTTGTAGATGTATAAAGTAAACTAACAATTTGTGTATAGCTTATTTCTGCACATGAGCTTTCTCGCTCCCATGTCAAAAAAGCTTTATTATGTGTTAAAAAAAAGCACAACAACAACAAAGCATTCTCACTTAAAAGCTCGTTCAAGATTGGCCAGTTTCAGCCCAAAAAAATTAAGATGTTTTACAAAACATTTCGTGCTGGTTGGGATGGGAACGACTTTTGTGATTTAGTTCAGTTATCTTTTGGTAGTTGGTTGCTCTAAGTTGAATTATCTTTAATCCAAAACTTCCACAAACAAAAC